CCCCAAAACCCCAAAACCCCAAAACCCCATGCGCTTTAATTTTGAATATTATTGTCAAAGTTAAATAAATACTTATATTTTTTAAAAGATTTACAAAAAAATGAATTTTCCCTTTGAAAAGGAATTCAATGGTACGATAATATTTTGCAGCAGTCATTGATAAACTGTTTGTAGATTTAAATGAGAAGAATGGATCACTATTCAAGGAGGACCTGTCATTACTTGAAAATAGAACGATTGCTGTTGACGCAGATATACTTTTGCGCAAAGCCAAAGCTAATCCTCTTAAAAGTCTCTAGGAGGGACATGCTGGCTTAGATATGACTTTACAATAATCACTCATTGACATCATATTAAAATTCAAGTAATAAACAACAAAATTAACGACTTTATCAAATTAATTCTATGTAGATAGCATAAAATAGACCTCTTGATTGTACTCGATGGACTCAAGCCAAAGTATCTATGTGATGAGGAAAAGGTTTTGAGAAAATCTCAGATGATTTGGGATACTGTGTAAAACAATACAGATCAAACATCACTTAACAGAGAGTTAAAGGACAATATTCTCTCTTAGTATGGTGTTAGATTTTATTAGCATGAAATCGTAATAAATAAAAAATTTCGCATCTAAATTATATTTTCAGGTTAATGCAGCATAGATCACTCAGACTCAATTCTTTGTAGCACCATATCTTAGCTCTCCATAAATAGTTTATTTTCATTAAGAGGAATTGGTACATGCCTGTGCAGGGTCTTCAAAAATTTTACTATATGACTGTGAGCAAGTCATAGTAGACTTTGATTTTGAAAAAAAGACATTTTCATATATCGATAAAATCGTAAGCAATCACTTTCGAAATGACTTTATTCAGGAAATGTTTAAAACATTAGACATTCACGTGAAAGAGCATACTATTCAAACCTACTATCTAATTGATCTTTTCATCTTATGCGTAAATTTACATTATAGCTTCAATTATATAAAGGGTGCAATCTATAACAAAAAGATTACTACATTCAGCAAGTGTAAGATCTCTGAAATCATCAAGTAAATGAATGAGGTTGAGAAAAACAGGGATCCTAATTCAAGTAATGGCAAACCAACTGCCTAAATTCTAATTGAAAGCGAAGCCAAATTTGAACAAAAGTTGCATAATATAGAACTACTTAAAGTGCTAAGATCCTTCTTAATAGATGCCCCGCCTATACTTAATATGTAGCTAGAGCTAGTTAATCTAAGGAGAAATAGTAAAAACGATTTTATTTTCTCTGATTTTCAAGTTTATATGGGTAACATTAGCTGTCAAATAATTATCAATATAGGTCCAAGATTCAATGATGAAATTTACTATTATATGTCTAGAGGACTCATTGAGCCATCAATCCTTGAAACTATCATCAATAAACAAATATTACCTACAATACTGCTAGCTCCAAATCTTAGCTTTGTCGAAGCCTGGGAAAGCAATGATTTTAAGGGCTTCTATCAATAAATCTTTTAAAATTTACAAGAAGATTCAGAAGAAGAAAAAAAATTTTTAAATGATGATAGGCAATCTATGCTGAGGCAGTTTTACGATTCGTTTAAATATGTGAAGGAGGAAAGATATCACTTTAAATGGAATCTATAAGAGGCAGATATTTAAAAGGAATTGGAGAGATAAGATTATGTTAATGAAGGATAGAATCAGGTCTCATTCACTTTTGCAATGAAATGGTTTGATTATGATATAGTGAGAATGCAAAACAAAAAGTCAAGTTTACTTAAGTACATTGCAACTGAAGAGGAAATATCAATTAATTAAATGGAAAAAGTAAAAACTTAAAATGAAATACAGGTAATGACCTACTTACACTTCTTAGAGTAGAGAGGTTACTTAGGAATGAACAAGGAGTATCTTTATGGAAGAAAATTAAAGCAGGCCACTAACGAGGATGAATAAGCAGTGTTATTGTTCCTTGAAATGCTTAAGATATTCTATCCAGCTGGCCTAGAGATACCAGCTATTGAGTAGCACTAAGAGTTCTAATCTAAATGGAATCTACTGAGAGATAAGCAGATATCAGAATCTGATAAATGCTCTATTTTGCTAATCACAAGAATATTTACATTGATGCCAATGACTTCAAATGCAATTAACTAGGGTAAAGAGTTTGAGCTGAGAGATCATAATCAACTAGATTTCGATCTAAGCATGTTTGGCACCTATCTTAGAAAGATAAAATTCTTAATGAAAGGAATGTTCCAAAGTCTGATGTATAGATTGTACAGATCTAACAGAGGAGACATAAACTAATTTGGTTAGACACTTAAGATGTAGGCTTTTAATAAAGAAAACAATCATCTGTTTGGGTACATTTTCAAAACTGCCCTAGCAACACTTCATGAATAAAGCTAGTTACCCAAAGATCATTGGTAGCAATTTGAAAGTTTTGTAACTTTCAGTGAGATAAATGAAAATCTTCATAAAGCCTGCGACCTCTGGAAGATAATATACTAGCTCGTCGATTAACTCATTAAAGAAGATAAAGTATCAGAAGCCCTTAAAAATCAATTTGAAAACGCTCATAACTATTTATTATAAAAGCTAGAGCAAATGGGCTACTATGAAATTGCAGCAGAACTTAAATCAGATGAAACCTTGAAAATTAGCAGCAACAATAATCTTCTTCAGTCACTGCTCTCCGAAAGTATATGATTACTCTTTTACGTTTTCTCTTCATATATTTACTTTTTGATTATTACCATAAATAATCCAATCATCTAGAGTCGGGGTTTTGGGGTTTTGGGG